GAATCCCCGCTGGAAAGGTCTTTGCGTTTTGGGGAGCACATAAACTGCTTTCCATGATCTATCGGGCTCTATTTAGATTAACACACCCATCCATGATAAAATGTAGAGATAAATGGGGTCTAGATGTTTCAGGCCTAGATGAGGACGATTGGAGTGATGCATGGGATTACCCTTTTTCCCATTTAGTATCTGCTAGAGATAGACTCATTTAATTTAAATTCATTTATAGAATCTACTACACTCCTGCTAGGTTGGCATACATGTATCCTTCCGCTTCATCCGCTGGTTGGCGGTGTGGTGTCTCTCCTGCGATCTCAGGCACATATTTTTGGGATCATATGGCAATACATACATTCTGGGTGGCAGTTACACAACTTGTTTCCAAGATTACTACTCAACCGATCCCTCCTGAAATTTCAGTGCGCCTATTGGGTCTCACTGAAAAGGTTGCTCCAACGATTGCTACCCAGACTCCTGTTCTCCTGTCCTGTTCTAGTATGCTAGGAAAATTATTATTTTTCATTGGAGGAGGACTGTGCTGCTAACATTGTAGGAGTGGAAGAGATTGGTCAGTAGGCTTAGAATATTCGGTCTGTAATTGGAAAGAATAGTGGCTTAAAAACTGTAAATAGAGTAGTGATTTATTTTGGGACCCCTATTGTTTAACCTATGCATAAATGACATGGAGTTTGGGATTAAAAGTACCATTTCTGTGTCTTTGCAGCCAAGTTATGTAGTGGAATAAAGTCCATGCACGATATTTCCAAATTACAAGCAAACCTGAATGCACTGTTTAATTGGGCATCTATGTGGCAAATGACGTTTAATGTTGATAAATGTAAAATTATGCACTTGGGAACTAAAAACATGCATGCATCATACACTCTAGGGGGAGTATGTTTGGGGGAGTACAATGATCGAGAAGGATCTGGGTGTTCTGGTAGACTTAATAATAGCATGTCAAGCTCCAATTTCTAAAGCAAGAAAAATACTTTCTTGATTTAAAAGTGCTATAAACTGCAGAGACATAATCTTGTCCCGGTATCACCTTGTCCTTGTATGTACATTAGGACAGAGAAGTGTTGCTGTTGAAGATGTCCTTATCGGCATGGTTGGGATCATATGAAATCTGCGATTCATATGCAGTGCAGTTTTGGGCACTAGTTCACAAAAAGGATGTTGTGGAACTGGACAGAGTGCAGAGAAGGGCAACTAAACTCATAAAAGGCACGGAGGAGCTCAGCTATGCGAAAAGATTAGCTGAACTGAATTTGTTCTGTCTCTCCAGACAAGAGGAGATTAAGGGGGATATGGTAACCACGTATAAATAGATAATGGTCCCTTTGGAATCTAAAATTACAAATAAATAAGAGATCCACAGGGCTTCATATTGCAACAGTTTTATAAGCACATCATCTCCTCTACCATGGCGGTGTAAAGACGCTACTTGAGAGAGCTCTGCAACGGCGGGAGATACTTTGCAGCTGATCTTCCCTCTACCGGCGATATCTAAACGGAGGAAGATGGCAGGACTCACCCGGACTCCTGCTCAACCTAAAATGGAGGGTTTCTTGGTGCCAGCGGATCGGAGAGAGCCATCAGCTCCGGCCATCTTCCTTGGCAATGCTGGATAAAGTTCGCTCCAGTGCTAATGGGAGATTGTAGGTCTGGAAAGATGGTGGCTAGGAAAACATGCGGCTGTGCACACGGGTTTAATTCTGTGCAGACCGCTTCTACTACATGTGCTTTGTTGACTGGCTATGTATTGAGGAAGTGATGTTGGTTGTTTACATCACTTCCTGGTTTGCTGGTTGTTGACATCACTTCCTGTTTGAAATCCTTCCTGGTTTGCTGTGTGAGTCATCACTTCCTGTCTGACATCACTTCCTGTTGGGGAGCTATAAAACAATAAACAAATACCTGTGTTGGCTCTCTAATAATGGAACTCGCAAGCAAGACCTGTCTCCTGTGTCTTAACTCTACATAATACAACTGTGCTTTTAAGCACGGGGGAAATTCTTTGTGTTCGGCATACTTTGGTGCAGTTTAGTGCGGCATGGATTTGTGCGTTGAACCAAGCGAATTTGCATAACACAGCTAGGGGAGTTATTTTGCTCCAGCAGTGCTACCCTGAGCTGATATCCCCAATATCATGTAAACGGGCATATTTATTGGGGTGCATGAATTCAGGGCTAGCCTCTCAAACACTGTTCCCTGCCTTCTGACTGTTACCCAGCTTCCTACCTCTGGGTCCTGCTCCTGCATGTTACCTCCCGCCTCTAAGCTGGCCCCTGCCAGCAAATGTTCCGTCAGGGACAAACTTTTCTCCATGTTATTAATGCTCCTCATTGTTGCCAGTCGGTTATCTAGATCCAGAATGTGGGCCTCCAAAGTAACCACTTGCTCACACTTTGCACAACAGTATTCACCCATTCATTTTAAATGGGAAAAAAACAGTATTCACCCATTCATACATTGAGTATGATGTGCACTGAGTTACGTTCATACAAATGGAGGTCATGTAAGTGAATAATGGGGATTTCAATATTGTTTATTTTTTATCTATTTAATGTTTATTATTTAATTATTTTAATTTGTTTTACCTCAACAGCTGATCACAGATTATCCTTGCAAAACCCAATGGCCAAACACTGATAACTATAACCGATTATCCTAAATTACCACAGACAATGCAGATTACTCAGTTAGTATACTAATTACCATAGACAATGCAGATTACTCATTGTCTATGGTAACTGGGGTAATTTAGTATACTGTCGATTACTCAGTTAGTATACTAAATTACCCCAATTACCAGAGTCAATGCATAATACTCATTTTATTATGCTCAGTTAGTATACTAAATTACCCCAATTACCACAGTCAATGCATAATACTCATTATATTAAATAACCCCAGTTACCACAGTCAATGCAAATTATTCAGTTAATATACTAAATTACACCAATTACCACAGACAATGCAGATTACTCAGTATACTAATTTACTGCAATTACCACAGACCAATGCCGATAACTCAGTGTACTAAATTACCCCAATTACCACACACAATGCAGATTACTCATAGTATACTTAATTACCTCAATTACTACAGACATTGCCACTTGCATGTGTTCTCTCTCTCCCTCCTCTTCACTCAGCTGCCTGACTCTGTCACAGCCCAATCAATCAATACCTCCACTCACTCTTTCCGTCAGCGCAGCCGCCGGATCTTGTTATTAGTGTCACTCTCTATCTCCTCCAGCTTCTGTTGTTCAGGCAGTCACTCCGATCCTATCCCTGGTTCTGCTCCCGCACCCCCCTCCTGCACATGTCTGTAGGACCACACGCTCTCTTTGCTCTGCCCTCGCTGTGTCACAGGATACAGCGAGGGCAGGATGTGTATACAGCTACTCCCTTATGCATGAAAACACAAGAACTGGTGTGCAGAAAAATGGCAGCAGATGCTTTAGACTGATCATATAAAATATGTGTCTGTAACAGAAGGCAGTTTTGTTCACCCAAAGAATGGCGCAAGGATGAGTGTCTGCAGGCAACCGTGAAGAAATATTGAAGTTCCCTGCAGGTTTGAGTTGGAGAATTTAGAAAAAAATATTTTGCCTCCTCGTTGCTGAAAAGTATGGACAGATCCATCATGCAACACAGTGAACTGTCTATTGGACCCAAAATTATTCTCAAACAGGAAAGTAGTTTCTTTAAATACCTATGTGCAAATGTACCTAGGAGGAGTGATGCGGTTTTAAAGGGTGTTCACACCAAATATTGATCAAATGTAGTTTTTTTGTTTATGCACTTTGTAGGTTGCTCATTGATATAAAAACAATTAATTCCATTATATTAAAAGCACTCTCACTTTACAAGTGCCTAAAACATTTTACAGTGCTGTTTATTTATACACAAATGCATACAAACTATAACATAAAAGAGTTTCTTGCTGGTATGGAAATTACAACGAAAGGGCAATCACACAATGACCCATCACAAAAACAATAGATTTACCAAATCAACTGTACATGTATCTTCAGAAATAACTGACAAACATTATAGTTTCTCTTTGGAAAAAAAGTAGAGAAGATACCTTATTATTTATGGAAACAGAAAGCATTCTAAAAGAATTACAAGCAAATAATTGTAAATAGAATGGAATGGTGTCCAGTGTTTATAACTTTTATTAATTACAAAAAACATAGGCATGAAAATACACCACATTTTCATAAAACAACAGAAAATGCTGATTAGTGCACAAAATAAATCATATCACATCAAAGAAAAGGTATGTCTTTATAGTCAGTGATAATAGGGACATGCATTAAGCTGCACTGCTCCTGAGGATTACATTTTGAAATACACAATAATGTACTTCAGAACCACTAGCTCATGATTCATAAACTAAGTGACCCAGGAATAAGGAAACATGATTTTAATGATTTTTTTAAATAATCACATGCATGAATAAACTAGATTTTTATTAACGATATTCAGTCATACTTTCTCAAAATAACATTCAGGACTCTTTATGCACAACAAGTATAAATTCAGTACTAATGTGGAATCAAAAATTACAATTATTTCTATCTACAGTTGGGAGAAGATTCTATCTGACTTACTTTTAGGCTGTGGCAATTATAATTAACATTAACAATACTGTTTCACATAAACACCCATAAATAATCAATTCTATAATTTTAAAATGTCCTGGTATTTTTAAAATTTCAAAGCAAGACCTATAAAAACATGGATCTCTCCAGATCTTTAAAGCTATTTTTTTCAATGTTTCATCAAAAGTTTCCAAAAATAGGTGTTAATTACAAGCAATTTAAAGATAGCACCTAAAGAATTGCTGTTGTCCTTCACTCTATGGAATTCTGGGTCCATTATGTTGCAGTGCATACATCCAAGCATCTGGTCAGTAAAATGGCTAAAAGGTCCTTCAACACATTGGGAAATTGTAGGCAAAGTATTTCTCCACCTGTTGTTCAAAGTAGCTAGATGGTAGGGTCAGTAAAAGTCAGATGGATCAAAAATATTCTCTGTAATAGGCTCTTTCACTTCAGAAAGGATTTCATTATTCTCTGTTATCTGGTTAGTAGTTGGACTGGACATTCTTGGGCGCTTGATCTGTACATCCTCAGTGCCCTCTAAAGGGGCTCCTGTGCTGAGTGACTTGGGAAAATAAACATACAACCTTGTTATTATTATTTAGAACAATGCATTTGAAATATTTTCTTAATCAAGACTTTCTTTTAAAAAGTAAGATCAAAGAGACATTAGAGAACTGCTAATAAAGTTTCCATAATATTGAGCAATTATGTTCCGGCAAAAAAGTCCAGTTTTGCTGGACCTTTTATCATATAATCCTGTGAAAGTTCTCTCTGAGAGACACAAGCAAGCCTACAGTGGGTTGTGTATATGTGTATTCCACATTCACAGGCTCAGCATTGCTAATTTCATAACCTGAAATTAATGAAACAAGGTAGTTTGTTTCTCTATGGCTATTTCTGGATAAAAAAGGAGCTGCTGTCTGGATTCCTAAAGCAACCCTCTGTCACTAAAATAAATGTGTACGATAAACTGCTCTCTGCAGACAACTTTTAGTACTTACCTCACCAGATGGAAGAATCTGCAACTTGAAGAGTGTTGATTACTGTACAGTAAAATGTTTTCTGCAAAGACTATTAACACTCACCTCTACTGCTGTCTGCATCACAGATCAGGCAAACAGCCAGCTGGAGAATTTACAGAACCCAACACCTCTAATGATAGATTCCTGGTCCCCTGATGCACTCACTTGTTCCTTCTTCTGGCCTCTACATCACCACAAGACACATTTGTGACAGAACACGTGTCAGATTCTGCAAATTCAGCTAGTAGCTTCTTTTAACTACTGTGGAAATCGGTGGTGCAAGAAGTGGGAGAGGTGAGTATTAAAAGTCTTCACATGGAACAGTTAATTGTACACATTTTTTTAGCAACAAAACATTTGCTTTTTAAAAGCATACCTCTTTTTATCTAATGTAAGGGTATCCCATGGGCAGCCCAATAAAAGCAGCCAATACAACAAACTTTAGCATAGCTTGTGACAAACAGACACATTTAGGGACGTTTTTTTTTTTTTTATAAGAGAAGATTTTCCGTAAGGAAATCAACCTTATATAGCTCAGCTTATAAAGCTCATCAATGTGTAAAATTACATGTTGCATCAAAATACAATATCTTGAGTGCCATACCCAGAAAAATAAATCACATGGTTTTGGAAATTGTGCTGCTACCTTTGTGCCCCGCAGAGTGCCCAGAATTTAGGATGCTGGCATCACTCCCCCTTCAGACCTCTTGATCAGGGTGACATGGGTCCTCACGTGTCAACTGTATCATAAAGTAACCTAGGGCTGCAACCAACTAATCGATAATAATCGATTATGAGAATAGTTGTCAACTATTATCATTATCAATTAGTTGGTTGGATCCCCTAGCTCTCTCCTCCACACTGGGAGGAGGGCACAATCGCCAGCCTGCTATTGCAATTTGAAATGGCCAATAGCAGACTGGCTATTGCACCAGCCCACCACCTGCTGTATTTACATTCACATTCAACTGCCGTCTACGGAATCTGGCTACTGGCAGCTGTCATTCCCTGGCTGAAGCTATTCAAGCACCATGTGCTTACAATATAATTATAAAAGGTTGGGAAAAAAGTAATTTTCGGTTTCGACCTGACAAATTCAGCTGCGGGAGGTGTGTTGCAGTGCCATTCATTTTAATGGACCCCAAACGCGCCTCCCACCCACCATGCATTCCAGCCTGCACTGGAATGCATGGTACCACAATGCTGTGCATTCCAGTGCAGGGCGATTGCCAAAAATTGTAGTTTTATTCTGAAGTAAACTTTATGTTTCTAACACTGCATTTATGTATTTTACTTTAAATTAAGGATGGCATTTAATTTTTTTTTTAAATCCGAATAATCGAAAAAATTATCGGCCAACGAATTATTATTAAAAAAATAAAATAATCATTAGTTGCTGCCCTAAAATAACCCCCCCCCCCCC